AACAGAGATAATTTCTTAAGTAAAGTTTAAAAATTACATCTGAAAAGTTTTTTTTAAATTTGAATTGTGATTTGGGTGACAGTTTACAGAGCAAATTCACTTTCCATACAGCAGTTCACATACACTTTGTCTCATGACATTGACTACAATTTCCCACAATACAAAAACTCCCCTTCCACTTCCTCCCCATAGTTACTTCTTCCCTGTGTCCTTCCCTCCCATGCACTCCTGCCTCCCTGAGCTATCTCCCTGTGCGTACACAGCCCTTCTATTCTCCCATGATTGATCTCTACAAGGAGTGTATCTATCTAATGTAAACATTCAGCTTATATGCCTGTCTTTTGTTTGGCTATAAGCCACGGGAGTTAAGTTCAATTCCAGACCTGAAGGGCAGCTTGGAGCCATGGTCTCAGGTGTTCCACCAGGCCACCTGAGGAAACTTTGAAAGAGAAATTCACTTCCCTACCTGCAGGAATATTCAATTACTTGCTGCCTCTTACTTTCTTCAGCAGACAGCTGATGAACAGCCTCTATAATTCTGTGGTGGGTCATTTTATTGGAAAATTGCTCCAATGTCAAGAGTAATGTCAAGAGAGATGCTGGAATAGTTGGAACGACTTGCAGGCTTGGGATATAACACCTTATCATATACTGACTACAACACAGTTCATAACCAGAGAGTGAAATTTCACTCCTTCTGGGAAGTTTCCTCCTTGAGGCCAAAGGGAAAGTAAGTTAAAGTGATGACATACACTATTCTGAAACCTGACAGCAAGTCAGAGCTCCAGTGGGGGTGGGGTGGGAGAGTAAAAAAGTAAAAGCTAATCTTTTACAAAACAGACTGAGCCTAGGAAAAGGAAAACATCATGTTGAATAAATACACAAATCCCAGTTTGCCTTTTTTCGTGTTTAAGCCAAGTCAAAAGAGTGTTTCCAAGTAAGTTATATGAAGTAGCCAAGGGACTGGAAAAGAGTTTTGTTGGGAAGTTCAAAGGCCGTACCAGAGGCGGGGGCCCGCAAGGTGGTGCTGGTCATGATAAAATCAAAGGTGGCAAGAATCACAGGGGGTGAAAAGAAAGCATGAGGACCTATGCCCTGGTTTCCTTTGAGGCTTTGAACTGGTTCTTTAAAAACAGAGGGTGAAAAACTTTGGAAGGAAGATACACCAGCCTTTCCCAACTGTTTATCAAACTGAAGACTGCATCTCATTAAGTGAGCTGTGAAATACATTTAATAGCCTATAATAAACAGAAAAAAGAAACACAATAGGAAACACAATAGAAACTGTGAGAGTATCATCACAAGCAGGAGAGGTGTTGTTGCATGAAGTGTCTTGTAATGTTACTCATGTTCATGTCCACAGACACGAAATGCTTGCCATCACCCTCCAGCCTTTTTACCAATTTTAACACCCACCGCCCCTCCCACAGTACTCACTACTTCTCTGCTGGGTTCAGTAATTCATTGCAGTGGCCATACAGAACTACAGACGATGCTCATGATTATGGGGTTTATTAGGGACGTAACAGGCTACATTTCAGGTTCAGGAACACGCTCAGGATACAATTCTTCTATCAGGACAGTCTCCCCTCTGCTGTGCCCTCAGTTACGCCTCTCTGGCCCTTGGCCTCTCGTCCTGGCCTCTGCCTCTGTGGGCCTGGTCAGCCTGCCGCTCTGTCTGGTGCCTCTTGTTTCCACTGCCACTGTCTCTCCGCCGGGACGTCTCTCCACCAAGATGTCTCCTCACTGGGGTGTCTCTCAGGCAAGAAGGCCTAGTGCAGGGATCATGGTCCAAGCATGTGCTCCACTTCACCTCCAGCTCTTCTCTCTTAATGGCAGTGAGATCCTTCCTCTGGCTCCAGGAGGGCTCATTTCAAGCCTGGCAGAGTGACAAAACTAACCAATCCCAACACCAGAGTTCCACACACCTTATCTGCATGCCCCGCCCCCCGCCAGTCATCTGGCAGGAGTTACACAGACTACAACTAGAAAAGCCACACGAAGTAAGTCACCACACTGCAGGAAGTTAACCTGCATCTCATGATGGGGCTTGTAGCTTAGGAAGTTTATGCATTTAGGAACCTGTCACTGTAAAACAGTAGTTCTTGGACTGGCAGAGTCCATTGAGAATGCATCAATATCGATCAGACTGTTTCCTGAGTCCTTTCTAGGTTTTAATGTTCATTGGTTGAAAATAAAGCACCAGGTCTTCATAAGAATGAGAGGAAATTGATATGAAATCTATATTCTATAGCATTTGCTTACTGGGTAATTTGTAGAAAATAAAGGCATAGACACATAGGCGATATTTTTGAACCTGCGATGATCAGAAATACCAACGTTTTGCAACACTCAGCTGCGTGACTCGTGTTACTCTCATTCTGAGTCTGCCCCCTCCAGCAAAGGGGAAGAGTAACACAGGGGAAGGATGTGGATTTGGACTGTGGAAAAGCAGACAGGCCACAGCTGCCAAATCCTTCAAAGGAAAGAGCACTGGCCTAGTTATTCCTTGAGATCCCAGGAGACATGCTTCACAACAATACTGTCAGGGAGCTGCCTAAGTTGACCAAGGTATCATTATTAAAAAGGGATTTCTTCCCAGAGGTGAATATAATCTCCTACTTAGGACTTCAGGAAAGCCATAGGGGAAGCATGTGTTTGTGTTTGGTCACAACCACAGTGCGTAAGTTTCCCTAAACTGTGGGTCACGGTGTGGGTCAAGCACACACACAAACACACTCTCAACCCAAGGGGACCAAGACATCAGCACCTGCCCGGGCGTTCATCAGAAGACACACAACGTTCAGCAACATTTCTCCTGGTTTGTGTCTCACCTGTGATCTCCATGACTCAGGGAGCCAGTGAGGTTCCCTATGCATGAACCCATTCATCAGTCAACAAATGTGTACAGACAACTGCCATCTATGAGGACAATTCTAAGCCAGGGAAATGGCAATAAACAGAAAAACGTCCTCATCTTGGAGATGACATAGCAGTGGGGAGAGATGGGTAAAAAACAAATAAATAAAAGTATATGTGACAAAAAATTAGGCAAGGCAAGAGGTTAAAGAGAGGATGGTATATTTAATAGGGTGGAGAGACAAGGCTTCTCCTGTGATACTGAAACTCAGCAGAGACCTGAAGGAAGGAAGGGGCCAGGGGTGAGAAGATTACAGGCAGAGAGGACAACAGGTAAAGGGCTCTGTGGCAGGGGCACCTCTGTAACAGAACAATATTCTCCAAAGACGGGCATGTCTCAGTCCTCAACCTGTGATCACGTTATCTAACACGGCAAAGGGGAATTTAGTTTGCAAACCAGCTGGCCTTTAGATAGGTAGATTATTCTGGATTATACAGGAAAGATCAATGTAATCACAAGGGTCCTTCAAAGTAGATGATAGAGGCAGAAAGGAGGCAGAGGGAAAAAGGCTAGGGAAGACTGGTCTGAGATACGATGCTGCTCGCTTTGTAGGTGGAGGAAAAGGGCCAAGAGCCAAGGAGTGTGGACAGCTACGAGAAACTGGAAATCCAAGCAAATAGTTCCTCCCCTAGAACCACCCTGGTGACACCTGGGTTTTGGCCAAGTGAGAGGTATCAGAATTCTGACCTACAGAACTAACAAATAAGAAATTTGTGTGGTTTAAAGGCACTAAATCCTAGGTCATTTGTTACAGCAGCAATAGAAAACAAATACAGCATCCTTGGGACATCTGAGAGAGCAGCAGGAAAGGCAATGTGGCTACAAAAGACCAAGTAAGAGAGAAGAGACAAGAGATAGATTCAGAGAGGCGGTGGGGGCCAAGGACCAAACCATGGAGGAGTCTATCAACCACTTTAAGAGGTTTCAACTTGAAGAAACATTAAGGGTTTTGAGTAAAGGAAGGGTGTAACCTGACTTCGTTATTCCAGGGATTGGCTGCTTTGCAGAGAACAAATTGTTGGGGGGGAAGGGTAGAGACAGAGCAACCAGTATGAAGGCTGTTGCAATAATCCAGGAGAGAAGTTTGGTAATTTGGACCAGGGCAACAGCCATAGGGGTGGCAGGAAATAAAACAAATGGAGAAACAACTCTAAGGATTCTCAGGTCCTTGGATCTTACCTGAATTCTCTTCTCTTTGTGTTCTTGGCTTCATTATCCAAAGACTTTTTCCTCTTACCAAGTGGAATATATTGTGTTTGAAGGGCTGAATTCCTGGGAACATACAAAGATACATGGTTAAAACAAATACAGTACAAGCACAATTTAGTAGAAATTTGGGTTTCTTCTATATATTCAAGGAGCCCTAGTGGCACCATTGTTAAGCAGTAGTCTGCTAACTGAAAAGATAGCAGTTCAAACCCACCAGATGCTACATGGGAGACAAATGTGGCAGACTGCTTCTATAAATATTTACAGCCTTAGAAACCCTATGGGGCAGTTCTACTCTGTCCTAGAGAGTCATTATGAGTTGGAATCAACTATATAACAAGAAGTTTCATTTGGTTTCAGCTTACCACATACTCATTGAGTCATCAAAAGCAGTGTTTTTGAAACATGTTTTTATCATGACCCACTTTGATGAAATATCACTTATTTCAAGACCAGTGTTGTTGCTGTTGTTGTTATGTGCCGTCGAGTCGGCCCCAACTCATAGCGACCCCTCCTTGGGTTTACACATACATAAACATGTAATCCCTAAAAAAAACAGTAAGTTGGAATCATCTAGTCTTAACCAATGTCTATAAATCAGTTGCTGTCGTATCAAACCTGATTCATGGTAACCCCGTGTGTCAGAGCAGAACTGTGCTCCAAAGGGTTTTCGATGGCTGATTTTTTGGAAGCAGTAACCAGGCCTTTCTCCTGAGGCTCCTCTGGGTAGACTTGAACTGCCAACCTTGCTGGTAGCAGCTGAGCACCATTAACTGTTTGCACCACGCAGGGACTCCTAACCAACGTCCACTTCCGTTAAATCTCCTCCCGCTGGATTTCACACCCTCACGCAGTTGACCAGAGTTTGTTCTGCAATGTGCTCCATATTTTCTAACAAGCTCTGACATTTCCTACCTTATTTCATTAGGAATTGCTGGTCGGACTAAATAAATTAGTTTTACAACTCAGTAATGGGCCAGGAGTGGGATTTGATGGATAGAAAAAGTACACCAGTATACTGTGAATTTTTTTACAAAGCAAAGAAACATTCTGCCTCTATGCTCTGCAAGAATTAGGAAAGGTGGTCCTCAAACTTGGAACCATCTTAAGAGCCCCAATACCTTGAACTCTGAAAACCAAAAAACCAAACTCACTGTCATTGGTTCGATTCTGACTCACAGCGACCCCCCTTGGGTTTCTGAGGCAGTAAATCTTTATGGAAGTGGATTGCCTCATCTTCCTTCCACAGAGTGGCTGGTGGGTTTAGAACTGCCAACCTTCTGGTTAGCAGTAATATATCTGGTTAGCAGTAATATATCTTAGGCACCACGCCGCCAAGGCTCCTTTTGCCTTGAACACTAGAGGGCACAAAGACACCTCAGGGGCCTGACATTCAATGTCAGGGGAGTCTGTCCTCACCCAGAGAGACCAGGTTCATGAAATTCTCCACCATCACATCTCGGTACAGCTTCCTCTGGGCAGGGTTGAGCAGCCCTAACTCCTCCTTGGTGAAGACCACAGCCACATCCTTGAATGTCACCGCTTCCTACAATATCAAAAATACGCAACATCACTTTTATAACCAGCATCCACTGGGAGAGGGGCAGCACTGAGACGATGGAGACAATGGGTGGGAAGCTGTTTCAGATTCTGAGGGACCTGGGTCAGCTTGTAGATTCCCCGCTCATTCTCTCTGTATCTGACCAATGCCATGCGCTGACTTTCCTCAGCCTCCCCAATGATGCAGCAATGAAGAAATGTCCTCACAACTTTACTTGGTGGCCTCCCAAAACAACTAAAAAAGGTACAAAGCACAGAACAGGTCCTGGCACTCAAAAGGTCCTCAAATGCCTCCTTCCACCTTCCCAAGAAAGAGAAAAAGATGAGTACTATCTGAGGAGTGTGGTGGGATTTTACAGTAAGAGAAGAAAACCTGACTCACCTTGACTGTGCTCATTTTTTCTTCCTGCTGCTGATGTACAGGTCCTGGACATATGCAGAGTGTAACTGGGGAAAGAGCAGGAAGACATAAAAAAGGTGGTCAGGGATGCTTTTCACCTACAGGGACGTTTATGGTAAATTGCCCACAGACCTCTTTCTTGGGGCAGCTTCAGCTGCACACAGCTTGATGAGCAGGGTACGATGTGGAGACCAGATAACCCTTTATCCCTTTCAGTAGGTGTTAGGAGAACAACCTGCCCAACTACACACAGTGGCCCCATCCTGAGTGTTGCTTTGTGGCTCTGAAGGCAGCAAGTCTGATTCTGCTGTGATGGAAACCGAGACAATACAACAGATGGAGTAAGAGTCAGGTCTGGGGCCGATGTGTCTGGGTTCTAATTCTGCCATGTCTTCTTGCTGGCTGTTTCATCTCGGGCCAATTAAAAACAGCTTTTTGACTCCATTTTGCCATCGGTTAAACATTTAAGAGAATATAATAAAGTGCACACTTGTTTCCAGTGTGGGGGTGCGACAAGTAACGCTGCTGTCCGCACTCACGTACAAGTCTGAGTGTCAACGTGTGTTTTCATTCCTCCTGAGAAGATACTTAGGTATGGAATTGCTGGGTCAAGTTGTAGTTTTATGTTTGACTTTTTGAAAAAATACCCAACTGTTTTCCAAGAAAATGGTTCTTAATAGTCTGGGTTTCTCCTTTCACAGTGAACATTCACCATGAGGGAAACCCTAGGTAGAGCCTGCAAACAATTGATGGCTACTTCGCTCAACTGCTAACAGAAAGGTCGGACATCTGAGTCCACCTAGAGATACCTTGGGAGAAAAGCCAGTAGATCTGCTTCTAAAATTCAGCGACTGGAAACCCTATGGAGTCCATTCCACTGTGACTCTTGTGGGGTCTTCATGAGATGGAAACAACTTGATGGCAACTACTTCGAGGACAGGACCTGTAACCGATGGGACTGTTGAAAGGTGGAGAGCTCTTCCAACACTGTCAGGATTTACCCTTCGTACCTAGAGAGATGCAGATGGTACTACGTAGAATGACACTGCTCTTAGCAACGTGATTTTCTGCCAGAAGCTTGCTGTTAACACACCCGGCCTCTGCTGTGACTGCTATCAGACGAAGGTCACATGCAATCTCTGGACTATCTGTTCACTCAGCTTCATTGTCTTGTGTGGTGAGTTGCTGCCATAAAAGCAACATTTAAATAGCCATGGACAACTGCTTCATAAGTGATATAAAAATGAGAAAATCTTTCTTCTTAAGCAGGAAGAGCTTTAAAAAGCATCTTTACACAAATGTGATAAAAAAAACCTTAGTTTTCAGTTTGTGTTAAGAAACACAAGATTCTGGAGGAAAAAAAAAACTTAAATGTGTACTGGTGGTGAAAGGCAAAATGTGGCCTGTCCAAAAAAAAAGAAGAAGGTGGGGACCAGGTTTGCTGGTCCAATAGAGCCTGGTGGAACCACTGAGACTATGGCCCCTAGCTGCCCTTCAGGTCTGGAATTGAACCCACAACTGTGGTTTCCAGCCAAACAAAGTACAGGCATGTGAGTTAAACATTTACCTCAAGTAGACACACACCCTGGAGAGAACAATCATGGGAGAAGGAAGGGCTGCTTATGCACAGGGAGATAGCTCAGGGTACAGAAGAGTATGAAGGGTTGGACACTGGGAGGAGGTAACTATGGGGAGGAAGTGGGAGGGGAGCTGCTGCATTGTAAATTTTGGTCAATGACATGAGAGAAAGTATATGTGAACTGCTGTATGAAAAGTGAATTTACTCTGTAAATCTTCACCCAAATCCTAAAAAAAAAAAAAAAAAAGTGGCCTGTCCATAGAACAGACTCATACAATGGAATATTACTCACAACAAAAAGGTCTGAAAACACTATGCTAAGCCAAAGAAGCCAGTCACAAAAGACTACATCTTATATGATTACATTTATATATGAAGTATCCAGAGTAGGCAAATCTATACACATGAAGTAGGACAGAAGTTACCTGGAGGTGGGAGTGGGAACAAGGCTTACCTGTAAATGGAAATGAGAGTCCTTGGGGGACTGAAAATGTTCTAACACTGATTTATAGCGCTGGTTGCATTACTTGTAAAGTTACTAGAAATCACTGAATTGTAAACCTGAAATGTGTGAATTCTATGATCTGCAAAATAGATCTTAACAAATAATCAAAATATTGCTTTGTAAGACAGCTCGGTGGGCAGGAGTGAAGGACACAGGGAAGAGATAACTATGGGGAGGAAGTGAGAGGGCACCTGCACTGTGGGAGATTACAGTCAATGTCATGGGACAAAGTATATATGAGCTGCTGTATGGAAAGTGAATTTGCTCTGTAAACTTTCACCCAAATCACAACAAAAATTAAAAAAAAAAATTCACACACACACACACACACACACATACATATAGCTTCATAATCTTCATCTCATTTAAATAAACAAGACTGGATCTGGAGTCCATCCAAGAACAAAATCTATTGCTTTAGAGTTGATCCGGAGTCCTATCTACCCTATAGGACAGAGTAGAACTGACTCATAGGGTTCCAGGGCTGTAATCTTTATAGAAGCAGACTGCCATATCTTTCTCCCATGGATCTGCTAGTGGTTTCAAACCACTTACATTTTGGTTAGCAGCTGAGCACTTTTAATCACGGCTTCACCAAGGCTCCTTCTGAGTTCATACCTACATGAAATTTATATTTGAATGGATGAGTAACCAAAGTGGGAGAAAGGAAAGCTCGTCCTTATTGGAGCACATCCATTAATTAATGTGTAAGGAGAGATGGAAGTTGAAAATCACCACTTTCAGTAGTAGCAAAAATGTGATGAATAATCTTAGTATCACCCCACGAGAAACTTTGTTAGTTACAGAAGAAATACTACTCACTTTACAGTGGAGACTCTAACAGATGTCACATTAGCCAAGTGAACAGAGTTGATATCACCAGTACTGAGACAAATGTACACCACGCGCCCCAGTACACGGCATTGAAAAGAACACATCCCCACTTTTGTGGTGTCCTTGTCAATAATGCATAATCTGAATCTACACCTGAAAAATACCAGATAAATCCCAAATGAAAAGTTTTCTCCAAAACAAGCTGCCTATATTCTTTAACTATATCAAGAACAAATTAGACAACAGAAGAACTTGGATGGTGCCTAGTTACCATAACTGAACATTCTGATCAGGGATTCTATAGCAGAATCTTAATTAAAAGGAAGAAAATGTGGAACAGAATTACAAATTCTCATGAAATTCTTATTTCTGGAGGCTCTGAGGCTGAATGAATCCCCCAAATTACTGCCCTGACATAACCCTTAAACCTTAAGCCAAACACATGCCCTGAAGTCTTCTTTAAATCCAACAATGTTGTTGTTCTGTGCCGTCGCATCAGACCCGACTCATAGTGACCCCTCCTTGGGTTTCTGAGGTGGTATCATTATGGAAATAAACTCTCTGAGGAAGTGGCTGGTGGGTTTGAACTGTCAGCCTTCTGGTTAGCAGTCAAGTGCCTTAGCCACTATGCTAGCAGAGCTCCCAAATCCAACAATAGTTGCCCTTAATTAGTGAAGAATGTCTGCCCTGAGCATTGTGCTCTTTTAAATAGGTATCTACAAGGGATCAAGTTGAGAACAGAAACTCAGAAGGTTAGATAGGAAGCTTAGGAGGGAGTGAGTTTATGCGAAGGTTGGAGGAATAACTGGGAAAATGGTGACGATAAATGCACAACTTGAAGAATGTAATCGTTGTCAGACAACTGTACATGTAGAAATTGTTGAATTAGTCTGTGTTTTGCTTTGTACATTAAAAATTAATTATTATTTAAAAAGAGAAACAAATAAATAAAACAAAAAAAAGGCTCAGGGATCATTTCAGGTTGAAAATGACAACTCAACACAAAGCATAAAATTGGACCCTGCAGTGCTATGAGTTTTTCTCTCTCCAGCTCTCTCTTTTTTTTTTCCCTATGACTTTCTCTTTGCTATTCATAAGGTTTTCCCTGGCCAATTCTTTGAGAAGTGGACGGCCTCTTCCTTCTTCCTAGTCTGTCTCAGTCTATAAGCTGGGCTGTTACCTGTGCACCAGGTGCATCTCACTGGGTTTTAAA